CCCTGCAGCGCTCCCGGGAGGCTGGGGGCGGGGGGGCTGTTCTGGGGTGCAGGCGCCGGGGCCCACCTCCCGCTCCGCCACCCACTGAGGCTGAGCAGTGCCAAGCCGCCGAGAGCACGGCTCGGGCACAGAGCGAGCAAGCAATAAATGCGGGCTGCTATCACGGGTCCTTATCTCTCGACTTCCTGTTGCAGGTTAACATTCCTGCAGAAAAGGACCCAGACTGCGAGCATGTGGCTCGCACGCATTCCGCCCAGTGACTTATCGGGGTGTACACACCCACCGGTGTCCTAGAGCCGCCCCGACAGCTCTGGGAGGCAGCCCGCTGCGGGGAGAGGCCTCTTCTGCGTCCCCCCAGCGCCTGGCCCGGGCCGTGTAGAAGCCATCGAGTCTGCTTCGCTCTGGAGCAGGGCCCGGCACAGGGCAGGTGCACTGTGCATGCGCACCAGAGCCCGGCGGGTGGCTCCGTGGGTCGGAGGCGCCCACCAAAGGGTCGCAGGTTTGACTCCTGGTCAGGGCGCGCACCTGGTTTGTGGGTAACGCCGGTGGGCGCGTATAGGAGGCAGCTGATTATGTTTCTCTCTCACATCTTTGTTTCTCTCTCTCTCTCTCTCTCTCTCAAAAATCAATTTAAAAAAAACCCTCAGGTGAGGATGAAACACACACCCACGCACAACCCCCCCGCCCCAGATGACTTCTGCTCAGTGTTGTGGTTATTTGTGCCCACAATTCAACCCCAAACATTTGTTTGTGAGCTGCTTCTGAGCAGGACACGGTGTCACCAAGCGTTAAACCTCACCCTGTCCCTGAGCACTCAGTGTGCCAGGCACTGCTGTGAGTCCCACAGACCCAGGTGGGACTCCCGTCCCGTCCCCGGGGAGTCCACGGCCCAGAGCAACAGGCCGCGTGGGCGCTGGGGGAGGCTGCCTCAGCCGCCCCAGGGGGAGCTCCCCAAGGGAAAGTGGAGGTCGGATAGGAAAGGACGCGCTCCAAGGACCCCCGCCCCTGGAGGGGAGGCGGCTCCCTGTGGACGGGAGCCGGGGTGGGGGACCGCAGCGGGCCTGCAGCCCAGAGGTCCCCAGGAAGGGCGAGGCCGTCCTGCGGCTCCCAGCGCAGGCTTCTGTCTTAGTCATGCTGAAGAGCGTGGTTTTACTCCGAAGGTGACGCAGAGCAAGGAGAGGGCCCAGGAGCAGGGCCTGGGAGCAGAGGGCACCGTGGGCGGGCCCACAGGCTCCCAGAGGGGCCAGAACACTTGTCAGAAGCAACTGACCCCACCTCCACCCCCGGGAGGCCTACGGGCAGGCTGTGTCAGGCTCCGGCTTGCTGAAGGGGCCAGCACTTGGGGGGCATTGTCCATCTGGCCCCGACTTATCAAATCCCACAGAACTTCTCACCTCTTAAACAGACCCTGGGCTCCTACAAAGCCAAGGTCCTCAGGCCTCTGCAAGGCCACGCTCGTCCCAGCTTCCAGACTTTGCCTGGAACGCCACGCCCCCTCCCTGCCCTAGCCACCCCTGTGCCTTTCCTGTGACTCCAGCCCCTTCTCGGAACTCAGGGCACTGACAGGCAGGCTGCAGCCTGGCCCGGGCACCCGTGTCCTCCACCAAGACCGCCGGCCTCTCTGCTCCCAGCTCCGCTACGAGCACCTCGCTGTGGGGATCGGACCCCTCCTCTCTTGGTCTAAATCCCTCAGTTCACAGACAGTGCCCCCTCCAAACACCCACTACACACTCCTGTCTGGTGTCCTGCTGTCCCTGCGGCCGCCTCGCTGCACAGACCGGTGCTCGTTCACGCCTGCGTCCAGCAGACGTGCGGCCACTCAGTGCGGGCCAGTCCTGCTCCTGCTCCTCCCCCGGGGGAGCCCCACTGCCCCGTGCACCCCCGCACATGCTGCCGCTCCTCGAAACCACGCCCCGGCCCAGCCCCCCCCTCGAGGAGCTCGCCTCCGAAGGTCCCAGTCCCAGGCTCCCGGAGGGCAGGCCCCGCCCCGCCCCACCCTGGGCAGGCGCCCGCCAGCACACAGAGCCGGTTCTGGGACGGCCCCTCCAGTTAGCACCTTTTGGTGGAAAGGAGTAAAAGTAACACAAAAGACTTTTCTACCTCGAGACCAATGGCTTCCTTTAGATTTGCGCCCCACTGAGGGCCACACGGTTGAGAAATCGCCTTCCGGGGGACGGAGGGAGCTCACTGCAGGAAGACACTCAGAGAGACGCACGGCCGGCAGCAGCAGCGGAGGACACTCGGGGCAGAGCCGGCCAGCTGGGCCTGAGCGCTCCCGCATTCTGCACACGCAGCACAGAGGGGCGGACCATGGCCCTGCTGACCCCCACACACTGAAGGGTAGTTCCAGACGCCCCGTCACCAGATGAGTCGAGCTGCCCAGAAAGTAAGCCCATCTGCCTCCGCGTTCTTCAGGCTACAGCGGGCGCTCCTGTCGACTGACAGCATCGCGGCCGAGAATCCAGCAGGGAGCCCAGGGGCTTAGACCACCGCTGGTCACAGCTACTCGGTCTAATGCAGGCCGACAACGAACTCATACGGTACCGGCAGCTTTCACCGACATTTTTCCTTATCGAGCAGCTGAAGATTTCTATCACAGCATTATATTTAGCGACTTCATTTTTCCAGACCAGTGTCTGCCCTCGACTGGGTAATAACGACGATGCCGCGAAACGCAGCCTGCAGGAGCGGGCATGCCGTGTGTGGGCTGGGACCCGCGTCTCCACAGCAGAGGGACAGGGCTCCCAGCCAGCACCTGTCCCAAACCCACCCCACTACGCATGTCTCCTTCCCTTAACCCCCACAGATGCTAGGGTGTGCGTGCCATCCGCACCCCTGTTTTACAGACTGCAAAATCGAGGCGGAGACAAATTAGTGACTGGCCCAAAGGCACACACACACTGTGGAGCCAAGCCCAGGCCCCCTGGCTCCGAAGCATGAGTCTGAACCCGCCCCACTGACGCAGCTGGGCCGGCAGCTGCAGGGCTGCCTCTGTGTGCCGTCCCCTCGGCTCCGCCACCCAGCTCACGGCAGCTGTGGGGGGACACCAGAGGGCAGCGCCACCACCATTATACAACAGACGGTGGACCTGGCCAGGCAGCTCCGTTGGTTGGGACACCGTTCCGGTGCACCCAGGTTGTGGGTTTGACCCCCGGTCAGGGCACGTACAAGAATCAACCCATGAATGCATAATAAATACGTGGAACGACAAACTGCCATCTCTCTGTCTCTTTCTCTCCGAAATAAATAAGCTAAAACAACAAAAGAGAAAGTTGTCCACGACTCTAAAGGATGCTGTCCGTCCACGGTCTGGCTCAGTGTTGAGGAGGACGGGGAGCTGCGCTTCTGAAGGCCAGCCCCTCCCGCGCCGGGCGGCCTGTGCGCAGCCCCGCTGGCCCCTGCGCGCGGCCCCTGCTCACAGTTCCCGCACAGCTGGCGCAGCCACAGCCACAGCCACAGCCCTGCTGGGGGCAGGCGGGGCCTGCCTGCCTGCCTGCCTGAGAGCCCCGGCGTGCGCGAGGGGACAGCGGGGCAGCACTGAATTCCAGCGAGGGCCCAGAGGCACCTCCCAGCTGCGTCCTCTGACCGCCGTCTTGGACACAGCCGCACACAGCTTCACCCCCGACCTCCCCGACACAGTGAGTGCCCCTGACAATGCCGGGCGGGGACCCGCCCGTGCCTCTGTCGCTCTAGCTGCCTTCTGCGAACTGTTACCTCAGAGGATGCGCCTCTCGGGCCCAGAGCGCCAACCAGGGAGGCCGCTGCCAGCCGAGGGACGGGACGGAGGGGCTCGCACCCTCTGTGTCTTCCCGTTTCCTCCCGTCCCACAGACGCCAGCCCCCGAGGGCAGGGACTCAGACAGTCCCATTTCCTGTGGGAGGCTCTTAGGGCCTAGCACACAGCAGGTGCTCAAGAAACACATTCTTTTAATAAAATGAAGTATTGGGCTAAAAACCAGTAATGCCCTCTTCCTGACGCATGGGGAGGAGAAGTGCTGGGAGGACTCGGAGCTCCTCCCCCATCCCCCCTAAACGCGGCCGCCCGGGACCCCCTGCCCCCCCTGCACGACGCCAGCTGGTGCTCGAAGTCAGACGGACCTGTGTGCCTCACTGTCCCGAGACTCCAGAGCTCCCCCGTGCTCGTCCCCGTGGGGCCGGGCTGCAGCCTCCGGCCCGTGTCGGGGAAGCACACAGGCGGGAGCCAACACCTGCGCCCTCACTTCGCCCTGGCAGTCCCCCAGAGGCCAGTGTCACCCCTCCTCACAGATGCGAAGGCCAAGGCCCAGAGGGGCCCAGCGAGGGCACGCAGCTGGCACGGGCACAGCCGGGGCCGGAACCCAGATGTCTCCGGCCGCCAAGCCCGTGCTCCGCCCACACCGCCCACGGCTGCCGGGAGAGTTACCGGGCTTTGCCGTGGGAACCAAATTTGATCAAACACGGGCTTTCCTCTCACCAGCAGGCAGGAGAAGGGAGCGAGGCCCAGGGAGGGTGACTTCCAAAACCACGCGGTGGTCTAACCAGGAAGGGAGTTCCCCGTGGACGCGGCCAGACGGGAAGACGCTCCCACAGACTCCGGGGCAGCGTGACTGGCTCTCTGGCCACTCGCCTCCACTGTCCTGCGTGATGTCACACGGCTGCCGTCTGCTTTTCTATACAAACCCCAAAGCAAAACTGCCTTCCGGGCTAAGCCTAGTGACTAGTGCATGTCCTGCAGGTCACACACGGCTGAGCACGAGAGGGAAGAGCAGAGAACCCTCCAGCTGACCAGGCCTCTCGAACACCTCGGAGCTCCGAGGTGGCAGCCTCTTCTAGGGGGGCGGGCCCCCCACCGCCACCGATGGCTCGGCCGCAGCTGCTGCCGTCCAGCCCCGAGCCCACTGGCCTGCTGGTGCGGGGGTATGTTCACTCACCCCCTGTCCGCCCCCACACAAAAAAACAAAAACCAGCCCTGGCAGGTACGAGCCTGATCTCTGTGTCGGGGGAAGGAAGCGAGGGCATTACCTCCCAGAAGCTGTCGCTGGACACTTCCACCCCGACGGAGTCATCGTAAGTGACAGACATCTCTCTGAAGGTCTGGGGGCCGCAGGGACAGTTCAACTCAGATCGGCTGCAGAGGCTCGGAATCCGCAGATGAACCTGCAAGAAAAACACACCACTGCGACTTTGAATCCCCAAGGGAAAAGAGCAACGCACTTCCGTTTACGGTTTCCATGTCCGTCACTGCCTGCATCCAAAACCGCCTACAATGTGTCCTTTAGTTGGGAGTGGCCGGGACACTCGAGGCCCCGGGCCTGAGGACCTGTGTGCGCTGCACTGGTGCACAGGGCGCCTCTCACGGGGACAAGCACGAGTCCAAACGCCGAGAGTCACAGCCCCCTGCCCCCCCGAAGGGTCTGTGGGTCCCAGAGGTTGATGGAGGCCGTCGCCGGGGGTGCCCTTGGCTCGGGCTGGGGACAGCATCACCTCCCCCCACGGCACCCCCTCAGCCCGGCCTGATAACAGGTGTCAGATGAACGAAAGGTACAGATTGCATAAGTATATTTAGCTTCCCCTCCATGCCCTTAATTTGTTCCAGAAAAGAAAAAAAAACGGAATAGTCCATTGGACCAAACGGCTATCACTTACAGCAAGGACACCCTGAGCGGAGCGACCGTGGTGCACGCGTCCCTGAGCGTCGGCCTGGGCAGGAGGGACGCCCTCGCCGGTCCTGTGCCGCTGCGGAAGGCCGCTCGGAGGGAGGCGTCCTCACCGCTGCCCAGTGCTGCCCTGCGGGCCTCGGAGAGCGCACGCCCCACCTAAGGTCTCTTTCCTCAAATTCATTGTCCGGGGCGGGAAATTGTACTTTCCCCCCACACTATTACTTAAACAAAATTTTTTAACTTGAAAGGCTTGTTTTCTTTCAATCACAGTCAACACTCAATTGTATATTAGTTTCCGGTGCGTGGCACAGCGGTCAGGCAGCTACGTGACGTGTGCAGGGGCCCCTCGGCACGTCCAGTGCTCCCGGCGCCCCACGTGGTTGCTGCAGCACTGACCGTACCAGGGTGGGGATTCCCCATCAGTCGGGAGACGACCACGGCTGCTTCGGGGTCACCATCTGGCCCGGGGTTGGGGGGGGAGTCAGTCCCCAGGCACGGACACGTGTCCCCATGCGTTCTCCGAGCACACCTTAGAGCCTCCTGTGTGCGGCGTTTCTCTGGGTCTCTAACGAGACGGACGGGCCCCCGCTGCCTGGGGCTGACGTCCCCACGGGGACTGGGGCGCAGTGTGGGGAGGCAGCAGCACGCAGACCCCAGGCGGACGGCATGTGGGCGCGTGAGGGACAGGGAGGGCCCGTCTGGCGGAGGGAGGGCGGGCCTGTCTGGAGGCAGCACTGGAGACCGCAGGTGGGAGGACCCAGCATCCTCCATGAGCCTGCGGTGACTCAGGGTCTTTCTCTGCGCTGCCGGCCGGACGGCTCCCTGCTGGATGGACGGCTCCAGCTGGCTGCAGGTGCTTGTGAGAGGGGCCATCGAAAACCAAACGCGTGCGTGCACCTCCGGCTACACCTGCCCTCGAGTGTCCCTGCAGGGCTCTCGACGTGCGGTCAGTCTCACAAAAGAAAACCCCTGCAGCCTGTGACCCAGGTATTTCCTCTACAACTTTATCCTGCCAATAAACCCACCCACCAGTCAAAAGCAGGCATTCAGGGTGGCAACAGAACATGCGCACTGCACACCACCTCACTGTCCACCGAGAGTGAAAACCGCTGGCCCACCTGTGGGGAGGGACGCGGCGGCCAGAGGAGGGCGGGGGGACGGGGGGAACCGTGTGCAGATGTGAGGTGCTCCCACGCACTGGGTGCAGACAGTGGGCTGCAGCACAGCCAGACAGTCTGACCCCACTGGGCACCCACGGGAAACAACTGGGTGCCCGCGAAGGCTGCCGACGCACACAGAGTCCCGGCGTGCTCTCAGACTTGCCCTGGGGTGAGGGGTGGGGGTGGGAGGGGACTCGGGCATTTCACCTGGAGACTTTCTCGACTACTTGAAATCTGGGCTCTTGGCACGTAATCGTTTTGCAACGCCAGAACTAGCTGATAAAGAGACCCCCCTTGGCCCCAGGAAGGGCCTGTGCGGGAACGAGGGAGGGCCCCCCGCACCACGTGACCGCACCGCGGCTTCCAGACAGGACTTCTGCCCACGCCCACGTCGAGGACCGCCAGCCCACGGTGCCACCAGCTCTGCCTGCCGGAGGGGCGCTGACCCGCCCACTGTCGCCTCTCCCCTGCGTGGCGGCGGGCCTCTCCTGACAGCTGCCGCTGCTTCTGGCCCTTCGCTCTGTTCTCAACAGCGACCCTCTGAAAACCTAGGTGAGGCCACGTCTCCCCTTAAGCAGAGCAAAAGCCCGGAGCACGCCCGCAGAGCGCAGCCTGCTCGCCCCCCAATACCTCCTCCTCGGCCCCCATTCCCGGGGCTGCTCTCCCCCGAGGCCCCGCTCCAGCCACCCCGGCTCACCTGCTCCCCGGAGCGGTCTCCCTCCGCCGCTCCCTGTGCTCCCCCAGGCCTGGGCCCGATAGGCCGTCCGCAGTGCGTCCCCCGCCCTCTCGGCGCCCCTTCTCTGCCCTCTCTGCTGTCCCCAGCACTTCCGCCCGTCCCGCAAGCCTCACCAGTCACTCGCTCGTGCTGCCCACGCACCGCCTCGCCCACTGGGACGGGAGCCCCGGGAGGGCGGGAGCTCTGTCTGTCCTGCTCAGGGCCGAGGTCCCCGCACCCGGTGTCCGACAGGTGGCAGTCGCTGGGTAAAAATGGGGGCGAATTCAGGCCGAGAAAGGGTGCACTAACCCACACGTGGCTCAGGAACCACAGTGGGGGGCTCGGTCCCCAGCGCCTCCCACCAGCCAGCCCCACAGGCGGCCCCTCTGCCGCCCAGCCCGACCACCGCTGGGGCCCCGGGGCTCCTGGGGCCCCTGTCCCCGTCTGTCCATCCGTCCGTCCATGCCCCGTGAGACAGGACGAAAGGACGGCCCCTGCTTCTCTGCCCCTCGCTGCCTCCCACAGGCAGGCCTCAGGGAGTGCGCCTGAGGCAGTGCCCGCTGCGCACCATCAGCCGAGCAGGGCCCTTCCGTGCCAGCTCCAGCGCCTGGCGCACGGTCCGTCCCCAGGGCTCTTGTCCAGGGTTGGTGACGCAGCCTGCCACCTGCAGTGCAAGCCCAACACACACAGGTCTCAAGGCTGGAAGGGCCGGTCGACATCAGTCGGCAACGCCAGGGGAGGTGACAGCACGAGGGGGGGGGGGGCGGCGAGCCGCGGTGTGTCGGGTGGGAGGGCTGCACTGCAGAGGCTCGCCCCTGCCTCCAGGAGCAGGCAGAAGACACTGCCTCTGAAGCCCACCGAGCACCCTGGAGGCTCTCTCAGGGACCCAGTGTCCAGCGGGACGCCGGGAAGCCCAGGCGAGGGACGTCCAGCAGAGGCGGGGACACCAAGCGGGATCCTGAGGAGCTGCTGGGAGCCCAGCAGGCGTGGGGGGGGGGGCGGGGGGGCAGCCCAGCCAGAAGAGTCCTCGGGGGAGGGGAGCGAGGAGTGAGAAAGTGGGGTCAGAGAGGGGTGTCCGCCCCGAAACAGGAACAGTGAGGGGAAGGAGGAACTGGTACCTCATTTCTGCACAGAAATCCCCGTGTGGTTTAAACACGGTGAATTCCTCATAGCTTGTCATCCTCAGTGGCTGGCCAGGCTGAGAACTATTTTACATTCTATTCCTAGTCATATTTTTTAATTGACAGGACCAGAGATCATTTAGTTACTGTTATTATTAACAAACATTGTACTGACATATAAGATACTTCCAAAAGAGCCCAGAAAACGACACAGAATCCCAAAGCAAAAGGGATGCAGATATTACTAACTCTAAAATTTCCAAGCTAATACAAGTTTGTTTAAAAAAAAAACAAAACCACACACACACACACACACACACACGCACACACACGTTAGGATGTCAGGCAGACGAGAAAGCACCCACCCCCCCCAGGTTCTGGTCTCCGCAGGACCCCCTTTCCCAGGACTTAAATCGTGCCATGTCCCTGCGCCAAACCCACGCCCCGGGAGTCACAGCCGATGCCTCCCCTTTGCTTCCAGCCCCCCTTCTGTCCTGGCCCCTGTCTGCCCCCTTGACACCCCCGCTGGCTGGCCCCGTGAGCTCCAGTCCCAGGGACCCCCCCCGCCCGTTTCTCCCACACACGAGGCCATTCTTGCCTCAGAGCCTTGGCACGCGCTGGTGCCTCGCCCTGGGACGCTCTCTCCGAGGGGGTGCACAGACCCCCCCACCGCCCCACAGTCTGGCCCGCCCCCCAGGGTCCTCGGGGAGCCTCCCTGGCCATGCTGCCACGTCCAGCGCCACCTCCCACCCCCCCTCCCCTGCCACTTCCCGTTCCCCTCGCAGACCTCGTTAAGGCACGCATCACCACCTGAGCTGCCTCACCCAGGCACCGGTCGCTGCCTCTTCCAGAAGGCGGATTCGGGGGTGTCTCCCCCACAACGGCCCCCCCCCAACTTGTCAACGCTGACAGAGACACACACAGATGCGCTGCCGTCTGCACAAACCAAACGGCGGCAACGAAAAGCCACAGGAGTATGTCGTCAGCAGCCGGTTTCGGAAGCCGCCTGTCGACCCCTCCCGGATCGCCCAGGAGAGAAGAGGCGGCGAGTCCCTCCAACGAGAGCCAGGATCATTCTCAGCGACCCTGAAAAGGTCAAGTCTTCTCCAACGGTCAGCTTTTGCGGTCACTTAGTGCAAAGACCTCCCCCCACCACCCGGAGCCCCCTGGGCGGCCCCCAGAGCACCCCGGGGCCACGCCCCACACGGTGTCCGCTGATGGAGGGGGTCCCCTCGGCACCCGAGGAAGCCGCCGCCCCATGTGGAGACGAGGGTCCAGTTAGCCACCCCGCACTTCACACCCCCACGCAGCAGGAGCTGCCCCGCCCCCGCCCCTGCACTTGTGTGTTCGGCGGAAGTGGAAAGCGTTTGCCCAGCCGAGCCCCCTGCAGTGAGCCCCACGCACACCCCCAGCACCTCGTCCGACAGCACATTTACGGGCGCTGACCCCTGGGAAACGGAAGAGGCCAGAGACTTTAAAAGATTAGAAAACAAATGTCTCC